GAACACCCCATAAGATCCATGAGTATCCATAAGTACTGGCAAAGACCATGTCCTTTTTTTTTTGGTAGACTTTTCGGTAAACCAACCTAGTGAATCAGGGGGATCATTCGCGGGAAGCATAGGGATATGTGTATAATATTGTATAATACGGTTTTGTTTTGTTTTGTTTACATGGATAATGTAATAAGTGGGAATGTAGACCACCAGAAGTTGGGATGCACTGGATCATCTTCAACCATAATCCAAAAGTGATGTCTAATAGCATCAAATGGGACGCTGCCAACCAGAGTGCCTATCACCACCTTCACCAGAGGTTCCCAATACAGCAGTACATAAACCTGAGAGGCGTACAGTATTATATAATCCGTAAGATCTCAGGGGAGCTTTTGACACACACCTGACATGGGAAATAAACCTTGAAACAGTCACCCAATTATGGTACATAGATAGAGCATGCAAGCATGCAATATATCAAACCTCGTGAAGCCAAACTCTGAAAATTGCAGCTTTACACTCACCAAGAAATAGATAATTTGAATCAACAAACATGCAGGTTGTGAGTTTCCCTGGTGCTATAGCCAAAGACTAGAAACTAGAACCTACCAAGTATCCCCGACCCATTTCCTTCAACAAATCCACAACTAAACGTGCTTCAACTTGGAGACAGTGTTTCTGTGTCTGGGGCCTCAAGAACCAGCTATGGCTGGTTTACAAATAAAGCTGGATTAAATCCACATGTTTCTTGAGATGGTGAGGCACCATCCGAATCGCCGGTGCGATCCAACAGATCAAAGAGCTGCCTTGCAGGGCAGCTGGAAATGGGGAAAAACATTGGATTCAAATTCAAATGATGCTGGTTGTGACTTGTTGTGGGTATGGTTTTGGACGAATCTGATTTTTTAGGTGTTTTCTTAATTTTGAGCCATACGCAATATGAATGTGGTAAAGCCAACAGCATAAGGGTAAGGTTTGGCTTGCTGGGGTCGTCCCGGCTGTATGAAAATCCATGAAATTCCATACTCCCTGTTGATTTTTTAGCAACAAATCCTGAAAGCAAACGTAACCTTTCAGCTTTGGGAAGCATGACACTGTCGGATCAATCATGAGCCACCTCAGCCATCCCCAGTGACCAATGGGGGAATCTTTAGCCACCAAGGCCATCTGGAAATCCCATTGAGACATGCGAATCGCCTACTTCCCTTGCTCGTGTTCAATTACATTCAATTATAATTATACTATGTTCTTTGCCAGCAAATAACCAACAAATAGCAAAAGAGAGATCTGATCAGCAACAATTTGATTTTAGCTACTGGGTCCAGTAGCCAACATATGGATTCAGATACCCAGCAAAACGAGCGATTGGATCAAACTCAAATGGACAATTCTGACATATTCTAACAAACAAAAATCGCAATCTGATCAGCGAAAATCGGAACTGCTGGGAACAAAGGGAAATGAAACTGAACATGTGGAGGCATGGAGACTTACCCTCCAAACATTCGGGCTGATCGAATGAAGATAATTGGATATGCTTGCAAAAATCAGGATTCACCGGGCAAATTGGCCGAACCAGCAGAAACTAGGATTCAAACAGCTACAATTTGGATATAAACAGCCTGTGGTTTGCCCAACAAACAGGGATGTAACCAGCAAAACGGGATATTCCAATAGTACCTTCTAGCCAACAACCCCGTTCGGCAGCCCAAATTCAAGACTACCGGGTAGATTTTTCATGATGGTTCAACCAGTGCAAGTCGACTCCTTGATGCTTTTTGCTACCCAACCAAGTAGGCAAAGGATGAGAACCACACATAGAAAATGATCAACCATCTGGCAGGTACATCATTGCGAAGATATTTCGAGAGAAATTGGATCAGAACCATTGTGCCTTGGTTAAAAAGGCTGCTGATTCACGGCCAGATTTACCAGAACTGTGTGTTTTCATCTGGAGTTGACCATCCCAAATCCATATCGGCCTTGGTACCAAGTACTTATGACACATCATTTTAGGACTGTTCTCTTCACTGCCCTCCCACGCACCTCACATCTCGAACATCCAACTCCATTGCAGAAAGCCAGATTTTCACTTCCTGAGCGAGTCAGAAGCTGAAGGGTACCTCAGCTGACCTTCCCCGATGCGCTTTTGCTGACGGGGCTGATCTTAGCCCGAGAACTGATGGGTCAACTTTATCAGATTAGTGAGTGAGTGATAATGATGCACCATTCAAACCGCATTTGTATATATATATATACCCATATTATATATATAATAGTTTTTTCTGTAATCGAAAAATCAAATGGTTTACTATCATGTTCTCAGTAAAAGTCGACAAGTCGGGTATACCCCAATTGTTGGACATGCCCATCATCCCTTTCCCACCGAGTTTACGTTTTTTTCCTGGATAATTCCTCAATATTCCTCATATGCTGGTGTCAAACAAATTTGGGTGATGATCAAACTTACATTTTGAACAAACTCAAATCGAACCCTGGCATGTGAAGCCCTGTGGTCAAATCGACACTCCCATGGGTCATCCCCATGATGTTGCAGGTATATCGTGATATATCCCAAGCATATCCCAATCTTATCCCAGTGGCACTGTATCATCTGTATCACTGTGACCACAATTTCATGGTCCAAAATGATCCAAAATCCTCCAGATTTTTTTTTTGGTACCCGATCTTTGTCCATGCGTTCATGAGTAATCCCCAAATTCCGTTGATGATATCCCATAGATTCCCATTACATCCTTACAAAATTGTTAGCCTAATCTCCCATCATATGGCTATCAATGTGATAAATAGCTATTATAAATCACATTAGATTAAACAGATTAGTCCATATTAGTCCCAACTGTTATTTGTTATGTAAGCACGAATCCCTCGTTTCTTACCAGTTTTTTTCTCACGTTCCAGGTGAAGGTTTCTGCTCCGCTGGCCTTGTTCTGCATGATGGTCTGAAATTCTTCGAAGTCGATACGCCCATCTTTCGAGGTGTCAGCCTGGCAAATGGCTCCCAGTTGATGGGTCAAGTATGGTTTAGAATAATGGTTGGTTTGATGGAATACTACATAATGGGATATAATGGGTATTTATTGGTTTGCAACTAAGTAACTACAGAATCCTTTCCCCCCGTTCGCAAAGAGTAGCTATTTATACATAGGGACTATTTGGGGGTGTTTGATATTGGATGGGATTTTATCCACAAACTAAGTGGATTAAGAGCATCAACCCCCTGCAATAACCAATCAACATGTTTTTCGGTCGTGGCAAAAAGTATTTTTTTTTGGATTCCAGGACGCAGCCGGCATTTCTTTGATCAAAACAACCACTGATGAACTCCAAATGTGCCACCCCCAATGAATCACAACCCTGCTAGGCATAGGGTCAAACATGATACAAGGAAATCATTATCCAGGCAACCAAACTACGAAAACCACCAAACACACACCAAAAACCACCAAACAAATATATTTTTTTCTGAAATTATCCCGGCAAGAGACCCCAAACAACGTGGGAAAGTGGGAGGATCATATGTTTATGTGTATATATATAGCAGATGATGATGATGATGATGATGATGGTGATGATGATGATGATGATGATGATGGTAAAAATGAGGATGAAAATGAAGATGACGATGAAGATGGGGATGAGGATGAAGATGCTAATGTTGAGGATGATGATGTTGAGGATGATGAGGTGCAGGAGGATGATGTGGAGGATGATGAGGTGGATGATGTGATGACGACGATGATGATGATGATGATGATGATGATGAGAAGGATGATAATGTTGCGAAAGATGCGGCGGAGGCTGATGATGTTGCGGACGATGATGTTGAGGAGGATGACGTTGAGAATGATGATGTTGAGGACGAGGAAGACGATGATGTTGAGGATGATGATGTGAGGCGGAGGACCGATCCCAAGACCGCGCCCCACGTTTTGTGCAAGCTGCAATCGACATGCACATGGAGATGTCACAAGAACCATTTTATGCGGCAATTTGCAGGTAAAGGCCGCAGGCGAAGACTGCACCCCACGTTTTGTGCAAGCTGCAATCGAAATGCACATGGAGATGTCACGAGAACCTTTTGATGCGGAAATTTACAGGTAAAGGGCCGCAGGCCGAGACTGCGCCCCACGTTTTGTGCGAGCCGGCGCAGTCGAAATGCACTAGGACATTTCACAAGAGCCACTTTATAATGAAATTTACAGGAAAAATGCACGAGCCCAGAACCGCGACACAGACTTTGTGCGAGCCTGCACAGTCGAAATGCACTTCAAACCAGCTGGAGCACCCTGATCAAGCACCGGCCTTTACACTTACCGCAAGAACCCCTTGGTGTGGATACACTGTTTGGGGAAACAAATCGTAAATCCATGTTACTCATGGGTCTACACCATGCCCCTCAACATCCCTAGGCACTGATGACCCAGGATGTCCGCACAAGAAACTTTGGATCAACCTGAGTAACCCCATTCTTTAAAGAACATTCCAGGGAGGATGCATGCAAAAATCAATGGATCTAATCACCATGGTTGAATCATCCAACAATTGACTTCATATTTAATGGCCAAAACTGGTACAGTTTATCCCAGTTAAACAAACAAGGTAAAATTTTACACACATTTTCAAACACACCCAACAATGATCCAATTTTCGTCCATTGGCTGCAGGGGGTTCGACCTTTTGGATGGACACAGTTTCCGTGCGATTTAAACCAGCGGAGGCCCATCCCTACATGAGAGGTGCATCGCATCCCACGATTTTTTCCTCGATCACGGTTCACAAATCAAAATTCCATGTGATCAATCACGTTTTGTTGCATCTCCAAGTTCAAATTAAATCAAATCTTGCATGCAAATTTACAATTTAAACAAAAATATACAGTATCAAAGTATTGTATTGAAAACATGTCCATAATATCAATATCATCGACAGTTCATTACTTGCAAATAGACCTAAAAATATGTATAACTATTTTCATTTGAAAATTAAATACATATATATATATATGTATACATACATATACATATACATATATATATATATAATTTATATACATATGAATATATATATATATATAAATAAATCCCGTTGAATGTCATCAACCCCAGGTTTTCTTGGCGACATATCCACATCGGATCGGTGAATCGGGCCCCAAACATCGGTGCCTCCTCGAAGAACTGCCGCATTTTGTCCACGTGGGTGGCCACGGCCTTTTGTCTCGTCCTCAACATGACCTTGGTCACAGGGATGTCCATGGCACAATGTGATTTAGTGGTTTGACTGTGAAAACAACAACGTTATCAACACCAACACCACAACAACGACGATGACGACGACGGACAACGACGACGGCGACGACAATAACAAGAACGAAACCCGGCGTTTAAAAAAACAAATCTACAGGGTATCTCGAGTGACCGAGGTACGAGGTCATCCGCCTGGGCAACCTTGAATGTTTCTTGCATCAGCACGCCATTGATCACCTGTGGCCGAAATTTGGAATGCGTGGAAAACACTGCTGAACTGAAACAGCCCCTAGGAAGGGCCTGGGATTCAGCCGAAAATGAATTTGTGAACAAAATCCGGCGTTCCCAACCATCCCCACTCTGACCCGTAGGCCTTACCTTGGACAGGTAGCCTGAAAGTAAACTATCATAAACTCATGTGGACACAGGGGCGCGCTTGCGAGTGTGTGTTTGTATGTGCCAAATGCCACATGCAGTGTGATTCCAAGCGTGGCATGTATGCTGACCGATGATCTCGCGTTCTATCTGACATATATTCTGACATTTTCTCTGCTATGTATGTTATACTAAAATAAGTTATATACATTTGAATTATTATGTAAATATTAAATTATATATAAACAAGTATTTATATACGTATATATATATATATATCATTATATATATCTATATCATATGTTCATTAAACTATATTATCTTATATGAAATTACACATTATATAACAACAATATTCTACATATTACATGATATTAAACCATATATCTTAAATATGTTATCTTAAATAAAAATGTTAAATGTTATATGTTATAGAAACATATTTTATATACTTTATTACAGCATAAATTTGATATTCTAGAGGCAACATTCCCATATTCAGAAAATCTTCGCATACCATGTTTTCATCGTGCTCCAGACCTGGGTTTTGGTATGTTACTTTGATAGGCATTTCAGCTCAATCTGGAGGGAACAGTTGGGCCACGGCGAATCCACTGAATGCCCCTCCACAGCTTTCTATCCCCTATGTCGTTCCAAAGCAGCTGTGGACGTTGAATGAATTGAAGGCTGCTTTGATAAGGAAGTTTCTTCATTTGTCTACCGAAGAAGGACAGGGTTGTCAAGGGTAACGTTTTTAAAGGTTGGCTGAGTAGAAATTAGAAAGTTTCTTTCCCGGGGCCTCACCCAAGGTGAACTCGGAAAAATAGAACCCACTGGTGTGCCCCTGGAAGTTTGGGCTGGCTTTGGGATTGGAATTTTGGTTCTGGCCCCGAAATTTCCCTATGTGGTCTCTATACCAGCCACGCATACTCGGAATTCTTCGCATTCCACAAATTCTTCGCACTCCAGCGAGGGCATCGCACTCCACAGCTAGGGACGTGCACATACTATAAAATCCACGCACTCTGCAAGATCTTCGCACTCCATAAAATCTTCGTACTCGGTGATTTTTCGTTTTTTGCGTTTTTTTTTTTCGTTTTTTTTTTTGGCTAAAATCGCCTGGAATCACGTTTTCTGGAATATGGGCAAGGTAGCGGTTTCGCGTGAGACATCTGTAGTTTCACATACTATCGCATTCCAGGCCATTTTGGCCAAAAATGACCCCAAAAAAAAAAGAAAAAAAAACCTCAGCAGGGTGAAATGTGATAATTTTCTGGTATATGATGGAAAAAACTGGTGTTGGATCCATGGGGAAGGTCGAAGGGGGCCACGCATACTGTTTTATTTTCGCATTCCAGAAAATTAGCGCACTCCAGGGGTGGCATCGTACTCTATCGGTGGAATTAGTTTGCACGGGAGAAAACAGGATCGTCGATGATTTGTGTTCCGAGATCCTATTGTGCAGGGCTCTTTGCGGGGCCACAAAGATGTCAAGAAAGATGGGGATGGCGCTGCTGGTGAAAGGCCAGCCAAGCGTGCCAGAACATAAGCTTAAAGCTTATGAATTGGGTTTTGAGATCCTGAAAAGTGTAGATGACAAATTCCCATAAGAACATTATTAATCCATTTTTGGAAAGCTCAACATTACTAATTATGACATTTCCAGAAATTGTTGAAAGTAAGGATCTTCTTTGCGGAAGAACATGTGCAGTCGACAACGTACGTGCCAGAAGAAAAGGAGTACTTGGCAAACTGTATGAAATACAAATTTCACCTGAAAGGGGTCTTCGCAATTCCCTGAAATTTCCCAGCTATTTTGGCATGGAATATGTTCGGCCCTGGAATATGGGCAAGAAATTGCTAGAGATATGTTTTAAACTTTATTTAGTATACCATGGTGAAAATATCATATTTCATATTTAAAAATCGAAAACACGCACACATATCATATATATATATACACTGTAAATATATCTATATATACATATGCATAATGCTTATGCATATGAACATATTATCTATGGCAATGTGGCCATGTAGCAATGGCCCCGGGTCTCCTCCAAGTCCTCCTTGAACTTTGCCGCAGCTCAACCACCATAGCTTGCTCTATACGGAAATGTTAGACGCAACGCCCACCATTTGTCCCTCCCACCGTTTACATGGGGTAGGATGGAGTGGGGTGGGGCGGGTGGGGATGTTAACGTTCCTTCGGCCACATTCCCTCGACTTTGCACAAGATGCTGATGCTACGCTCGCATCGGGTGGGGTGCATGAACCACGTTCCCTCGACCATGCAAAAGATGCTGATGGTACGCTCACATGGGGTGGGGTGGGGTGGGGATGTTTACGTTCCTTCGACCACGTTCCCTCGACCTTGCACAAGATGCTGATGCTACGCTCACATGGGGTGGGGTGGGGTGGGGTGGGGATGCTAACGTTCACCCGACTTTGCACAAGACTTTGATGCTGCATCAGTGGCGTGGGGTGGGATGGGTCGATGATACGCCCAAGATGATCTAATTATTATGGTTTAAGGTGGGGTGGGGTGGGTGCATTTTGCAGCACTGGGGTGGGTGCATTTTGCAGCACTTTGGTACTGTTCGTTCTAACAAGATTGCTGGAACTGTGCATTTTGCAACGGTTTGTTAGGATTCTGTTTGAACTGTTAGTGCAACCAAAAGTACTGGAACTGTGCATTTTGAACCAACTTTCAAGGATTCTGTTAGAAGACGACGATGATCATACCAATGGTGTTGTTGTTGATGATGATGATGATGGTGGTGGTGGTGGTGATGATGATAATGATCCCGTCGAACTCTTCCAGAAGCGGGGCAAATGGTGGGAGTTGATCGAAATGTTACTGTGCGAAGTTTTGGTGCAAATTTTTGTGTGCAACCGAGCGCTGGGTTTCTTAGTGTGTAAAGCATTGTCTGAATTTTGCAACCGTGGCATTTCTGTAGAGAAGTGGCAAATTCCGCACTGTCGACACAATGACTACTAGCTGCTCCACTAGATCCGGCAAACCAACTCTTTGCAATCTGAGAGAAGCTTCTTTCCAACTCTATGGCAATTTGGGGGCTTCTTTCCACTTGAGATGGCGTCGTAACTGAGATCACTATTTTCCCGGTCGTTGGTCGTTGGTCGTTTCAGTCCCAGTCACGCCGACAACGGCGAAGCCCACGGTGAGCTTGTGCAGGATGCAAAAGACCATACACCTCGGGGGGATCCATGGGATCCAGATGGATCCAGGGGAGATCCGTCCAGTCCTTTGCCAAGTTTTTTGGGATCCGTAGCAGTTGTAGCAATACAATACAATAGGTCCATTTTGGAGGAACGAACAAAAAAAAACATATCAATTTTCGAGTATTCAATGGTATTCATGGCAACTGTGATGAACCTACACAATCATCCAGAACTAACCAGACAACCTGTGTCAACACTTGATCAGCTCGTCGCGAGATGCAGAGAATGCTGTAGTCTGTAGTCGGTTTTGTTGAGGTTTACGGTGAGAATACCTTGTGATATCTACATCTTATTCAAGCCTAATCACGTGTAGTTACATTCTTATTGGTTATTCGTCGATATTATAAGCAACAGATATACAAATAGAAAGGACCATCATGGAACAAGAGTTACAAGACGTTCTCCCCTACCCATGCACGTGTTTTCCCTATGCACAGTGCAAAGATCGGTTGGCTATCCAACACAAAAGTTGCTCAAGGTTGCTCAGTTTGACTGTCAGTTCCTGTGGATCTTGAGGATCGAAGAATAATCGTCATCCGGTGCTTTGGTTCCAAAGGGCACAGTAACGAGCAGAGAGTTTTTGTTCAAGTCATGACCCCATGAGAGCGAGAGTGATGCCAACGAATAAACCGAAGTGGTAATTTGGTTGCTATCATTGCTATCCTAGAATGTTATATAATTATATAATGTTATATAATGTTATATAGACTTCAAGAAAATCACTGATATAGTCAAAAAATCTTGCAGAGAAATCTAGTCATCACCCAACACAAGCGGTTCCATCCATGGGATGAGTACAGGATGAATCCACCCAGCTGTCCCCTGTCAAGTGGCCATTCGTTGACCTTCTCAACCTGGGCTGACAGGTGCTGTTGTCACGTTCCTGTTGTTGCAATTGCTGCTGCCGTTGCCGTTTCCGCTGTTGTTTATTATTATTATCATGATGATGATGATGATGATGATGAGGGGGAGGAGGAGGAGGAGGAGGGCGAGGCGACGACGATGATGACTATAGCGATAATAATTATTATAGTAAATGTAATACACAATATAAACCATAATCTATATATATACATATATATATAATGTATATATATATATATATATAATATAATATATAATATATCTATATAAATAGTAAACCATGTATAATAACATATAATAACTATCCAATAGAATATTTGATGATTCGCTGGATAGATCTGCTGATGATTTGCTTGGTGCCCAGGGGCCATGATGCGCGTGGGCACGGCGAAGTTAGCCAAGGTCAACTCGAAGAAGGTCAGCAGGGACCGGGTGAAGGTGCCAAAATATTCGAAGATCTGTGCACGGCAGAGAAGACGTGGAATCAGGTGCATCATTTGGGCAAAAATTTGGGGACATTCACTGATTTACCTTAGAATTATTATGTTTTACCATGATTTACTAGAGAATTTGGGTCTTTATCATGTGGTGGCTGGTGAGAAGTAACATCAGGAGGATATGTAGTATGCACTGTGAGTGGTTGGTGATCATAATTACTGAACAAAATGGTGACGCTGGCCTAACACGTTTCACTAAACATGAATATACCACCAACGAATGGGAGGTTCCCTCACAACAGTTGAAAGTGTGTTCAAAACTTCGGGAATGGAACTGCTGGTTGATAATGGACATGGTGTGGTGGTTGGGTGAGATTCTTCGACCTTAGTTGAGGGCAACATTGATATACCCTCAATACTGCCACCATTGAAGCCATTCGGGCACAACCCAAACCCCAATTCGATGACATAGGATGATCTTACGCAGGTCACAAAACGTGAGAAAAGAATGGCATAATGGGAAGCAAAGGGTGCAGGTATAGAATGACCATGAATGATCTGTGAATGAAAAAAAAATCCCAATTTGATGATTATGAAATACACGCTGTTGGTCTCATTCCTATTTTTCACGCAAAACTACGTACTCTATGACTCTATGGTTTACTGACAAGCACGTAGGATAGACACATCATGATCAACGATACACGAATCATAATCATATCATAGGGTCCTAAGAATTTCTCCCGGTTCAGTACTATGTTCTAAGAATATCTGCTTGGTGGCATACCTACCCCTCTGAAAAATGATGGAGTTCGTCAGATTGGATCATCATCCCAACTGGGGAAAATACGAGCCATGTTCCAAACCACCAACCAGTATATAATTGATAAATGATGATAAACGGGGATAACTATGGGATATCATGAGATATTGATGATCAATGGATAATCTCACGGTAGTTTCCCATGGCCCCATTTCTGGGCACCTGGTTTTTGTCTTCGATGGTCACCCCATCGGCCTGTCACGCTCCCGGCGTTCCCGTTGTGTTTTCGGTGATCGGTGGGTGTCGATGTCAGAGGGATACACTGGACATTCACTTCTACCAACATGTTCATTAAGTATCATTAAATGGTCAGTTTGGTGATTTTAGATGATTTTAGTATCTCTGAGTCATACTGTCACACTGAAAAAATGTCTTCAAGTCAAACTCCAAAGAAATCTGTCGCTCGCAAAAAGCCGCACCCCGAAGTAGAAGTAGAAGAGAGACTGCTGCACCAAGAGCGCCAGGAGCCTGACCCAACAGTGCCATCGATTTTTCCATCGATTTTTCCATCCATCCCTTCGCCTTCCCCATCGATTTCCATCAGCCACGAGCCACGAGCTGAGCCGCTGAGCCCTATCCCTGGGATCCCCTGACATATGCACCAAGAACAGCACCGCAGAGGTCCAGGCCAAGATCCCAAAACTTCCTGGCGAAACGCCGGTGCTTTCTGTTTTTTTCTGAATGGTGGTACCTAGATGACGTCTATGGGGAGATGATTATAGATATATATATAGATATTATAGATGATGGCTACAATATTGATTAGAGATGATATAGATGAATATAGATTATTGTAGATGATTGTAGATGATTGTAGATGATTATAGATGATATAGATCATGCTAGTCTAATTGGGTATCATATCTGTTATTAGCGATGATCGGGTAGATGATTATAGATGATACTTGCCATCACCGATCACGAAGCTAGTGGCCAATCTAGTGCTGCCTTGCTTAGTCGCATCATTCTGGTGGGGGGCCTGCCACTAAACCATCACCAAAAACCAAGATCCTAAACATTCCTAATTAAACTATTTACGTACCACGAAGACAAAGAATCCTACTATAGTTGTGTGACATCTCATCATATACTTTTTTTTTGACCATCATAACTCACTTTCAGTGACCAGAATAATTATAGTACAACCCAACTTTAAAATGGTGATACGAGGTCACACCCCAAGTTCTGATTGGGTTGTACTATAAGTATTGTATGATGACAATAATATAATACGTATAATTACCAATACCATGTATTGTATCCCAAACCACAATGGCCTATAGCAATTATGTTGCGATGGTAATTGTATGTAATTCTGATTCTTTAAAAGTGTTACAAAGAATTAAAAACCAAATTCACAGCCTAAAGTCAGTACTGGAAAAACATGGATCTTTGAAAGTTGGCAGTGGTAAGGTTCCAATTTCGATTCTGAAATCATCCGATCCACGTGCCGTGCCGCACAATGGTGCTTCGTATTGCTGTGGTCATCATGAACCTGGCATCCCAGCAATATCCCCGTCAGTCAGGGACCTGCCTGCATTGTTGGGTTTTACAATACCATGTGCACTACATTGTTGATGGTAACACTTAATTATTTAAGTTGGGTTTTCTAAACCTGCATATTGTTGGGTTTTACAATGAGCTGAGAATACTGCGATAATCCATGTGCACTTTGTGGCACAGTCCAAATCCCTTGGAGAAGAATTCGATCTCTTCTGAAAACATCCTACCCAAACACTCCCAAACCAGCAGTTGAACTTCCAAAATTTCCAAATGATCACTGCAGCCGAACAGGGTCAGCTCAGCGATATGTGGCATCCTGTGGCATCCTGTGGCATCCTGTGGCATCCTGTGGCATCCTGTGCGCCAAGCAGCAAGTGATCGAATTGCTGAATCCGCCGTACCTCAGAAACATTCATGACATGGTTAGGTCGTTCCTTACCTCAACGCTTGTAACATGTTGTAATCCCCCCAGCAACATCTCAAGGGGGCACCAGTTTCAGCAAGCGCATGAGCCGAAACATCCGAACGAGTCTGAGGACTTGCGAGTTCCTTGGTTCGGTTCACGCTGACATCGGATCCAGCAACGGCAGGTAGGGTCATGGGCCCCAGTCCCAGGTGCGATGGTGGGAAGCTGAGTGGTTGTTTGATGATGCTTACTCTGGCCCAACAGCATGAAAGGATTCCCCCATTTTCTCTGGGGTGAATAATGGAAGAAAAAAGGAAATACCAACGATGACGTTTCCTATCCTATCATTTTTTTTCCACAAGGGGTGAAAAAGGCATCGGCATCAGTATATGAACAATGTTCAGTGTCCCATATAATAGGCAATGAGAATAGGTCAAAGAATGTCAAAGACACATTGTCAACAGGAATAACATCTGTCAACTTTTCCATTATAAATTAATTGTAATGATTCCAATTGATTCCATATCAATAAACTTCAATAAAGAACGTGTCAGTTCAGGCCACAAAACAACAGGTCAGTTCCCTGGAAGTTCGGAACCGCCGGGTGGGATCATGGCACCACAGCTAAATCTTCAACTACCATCTGGTTATTTAAGATAGCCATGGAAAATGGCCCATTTATAGATGGTTTACCTATTAAAAATGGTGATTCTCCATGGCTATGTTAAATAACCAGAGGGTATAATCCACAGAAATATTGATTGAAACAAACAGACCAAAGCAGTTGTATAATGTTGCATATCATTTAGACGGCGATGATCCTTCATCAGCGATTTACGGGACAAAAAACCAGAAAATATATGTTTAAAACAACCAACACATTAGGATTTCACAATCCATGACCTACTAATCAGTAATCATGACTTGTAAGCCTCAGACAGGTGAAATAGTTCAACCCAACAACGCTTGACCAATGCAAGGGGAGCAAGATACAACCAATACATACCAATATCAACATGTGGATTCCCCAAAAAATATAAAGTATACCTGCATTAATATCCAACATTTGGCTATTATCAACACGCATGAGTGCATTCAATGAAGAGAGACATGGACTTGACGAACAGGCAACGGGATATGTACATAACCTTAATCAAAGATTAGGATGTCATCAGAAACAAGTGGAATAAAACCAACATAAACCAACAAAGGTTTTAATAACCAAGCACCCAATTTTGGGATTTAACTAGCCAGAAAAGAATGGGATGCGACCAGCAACGCATGTGATAAGTCAAACACCTATTATACCAAGCCTTCACCCACAAGACTTTTGTTTTAAGCAAGAATAAACTTGAACCAGCAAAACATTGAAAACTAGGATTTGACTACTACAACTATTACAACTACTATTGGTTTTCGTAAAGGGTCACCAGTTTTAACGGCACAATTCCGATTTTTCGCCAAGTTTCACCACCATCGCTTGCCCAATGACCTCGCTGTGGGTTTCTCCAGCAAACCAGTATTTGCATGTAGCTACCGTGCAGGAACAAGTGGGACAGCGACTCATATTTTTTTCGATTCGTACATGCACCCTCAGAAATCATGAGAAAACATTTTTTGCGTATCAGCAATATGAAGAGCTGGTATATCTGGTTGTTCTGGATGCTTCTCCTGCTGGGAAAGGTTTCCAAAAAAAATGCCTAATTAATACATTTAGACGACCATGGCGATCACAAGTACAATCTTTGGTCCCCAAGGCCGGCAGGAGTGGTCCAGATCTGGAAAATGTTATCATCTGCGGGCCGCACCAAAATTGATGATTAATGATTTTCCAAAAAACAAGACCCAATCTAGACATGGCACACTTTATGAATGTCATGTTCAAAAAACACCTAGAGTTAGAGACATAAATCCATAAATTGATCTGAATCTAAATTGAGTCCATTTGATAGTTAAGTTTAAATCCTGGATTTGATCATCACCTCCAACATCAACTATGAATCACCTCCATAAGAATCAACAATTGATTCATGTGGCAAACCCAATTATCCCAATTTAATAAATCATAAATCATATCATAAACCATCCCTGTCACCATAAATTGGGAATAAATGGGAATTTCAACCCCCAGTCATGGTACAGTAGGTGTCTTTCCGGTTTCACTCCCACAGCTGAGTTCCGCCTTGGAAACCAACCAACTTGCCACGATGGCTGTGTCGATCCAGTTCCATGCATCGAGACCTGAATGAATAGATGGGCCTTCCAGGGCATGATTTGATGTGTTTGATGTGTATTGATACTAATACCAACCATAATTGATATTAATCCCAACCAACATTCACCAAACATCTGGGGCTGGATATTCGTGTTTGTTTATTTGGAGGTGGGTTGATGTTTATTGAGATTGATACGTGGTGGCTTATTAGATAGCCCGTCTATGGTAGCGCATGATTTCAGGCGGCCCATGGCACAGACTTCAAGTGTTCGCCATTTTGTGAATGATTATCCCTACTAAGCATCATCTGGTATCATGAGCAATGAGGTCGATGCGAGGTCATTGTTTTTTGCACCAATTATTGAATGGCCGTTTAGATGCTGATGCCGTTTGGTTGCTTGGCCTGACTAGGCCACTTAATGACTTCATGCATCCATAATTTCCTCTTGTCAACCTCGGGTTATCAAACATGGCTGGAAAATGCTCCATAAACAGGCATTTAGAATCATTTAAATGGGAAAATCATCTGGGGAGAATTCTGCAGGCAGTTGACCGGTCCCATTTGAGGCTCCAGCAGAATTGTCTGCCCAAAACACAGACCTTGAAGACCACCTGCCACGCAAAGGTCACCGCTGATAACTCCAAGTCTCGAAGCTGACTTCCAACTACACCTCAATTTGTGAAATCGGATTCACCATATTGATGATATTGCATATGGGCTTGTCTGAAACTTCGGAACTATTATTATTATGATTTATGATCATTTTCCTCACCAGAATGGCAATTTGATGTACCTCCCCCAATTGTTGACTCTGTCTCCCGTTCTATCCCAGTGCGTTTGCCCGTCAACTGGTTGGTTCCATCAGCTTGATCCATGATATGACCAATATGTGTTTGAACATAGGCCCGGCCAAAAAAAACATGGTCATCTCATCATGCTCTTCCCCAATGAGACCGAGCATTTGATGGCTATCCTGTGGCTATCCCGCCCCTCCATGGGGTTCCATCAAGGCCACAGATGGGATTCCACCTCAACGGTATAGATGATGCCGAAGAACAGTTCCAGTGTATCGAAGGCGTCCTCCCCGAGTGGATTTTTGGGTCAGGGAACCATCGATATCATCGTTGCTCCTAGGATGTTACGATGTTCCAAGTGTCGGATTAACCAAGGGGGAATTATATTCTGCTCCTTAGAGATGCTGCTAAGACATGATGGGTCAATTCCTCTGAAGGACTCCATGGGGGATGGGAATACATCTGTCAGCTCCATGGCCTATACCCAACACCAAGGATCATCCCATTATGGATGTGTATTCCACCCACTGATCAACAGCAAGAACTTAGCTTATGGAATAACAACGGACAGTCCGAAACAGTCGGGAGTCGGGAACTGTGTGCCACCCCATCATCCCAGTCAACTCCGAGCAAACCATCCCCCTGTCATGGCAATTCTTATGAATCCCATACGAGTACCACTATAGTACAATAATGATGATCTCTCCATAGTATTTCATGAAACACTCGTATATACTTAATCACTTTTAATCATATACTAGATTATATGATCACAGTATATATGATTATGAATTATATATAACAATATATATAATATGAATCTTAGACTATGAATACATATTATACACTATATATATAGTATATATATATATATGTATAATCATCACCATGTAATCGTCTCCTCCCCCGTCCGCCACGGACCTCGGCACCGAGCCAGTAGGTCTCCTCCGAACGAGGTGAAGCGCCTTTGAAACCCAAGAGGCCTTCCAGCATCAAGCCTGGCGGCTTACCATGGGGAACACTATGGAACTTACTGGAAATATGGAAAAGGGATGAAAAGGGAATGGTGAGAATGATGTATTATATAATATCATATACTAATATACATAATATATATAATTATATATATATTATATTGAATATTACTGTATAGAATTATTGTATAGATAGCCAGGATATGCCAGGATGTTTATGGTGGGTGAAACAAGGTGGAGAATCACTGTACTCTGTGGTCCCCTGGGCCTGAAATTGACGCCAGCCAGCCGCATGGATGTCATACATGTCATATGGCATTAAACAAGAAACAATGTGATGTTATAATATGTTATAAGATGTTATAAGATGTTATAAGATGTTGTGAATACTTTAAACACCTCATATATTATTCTATAAAGTTGTGGAACATGCCGATCTGGTTTCTATCCCAGCACGGACATCGGTGACCAGGAAAGATCCCACAGGTGAAACCCCATCCATCCTCGATATTGGGCTTCGAAGGCAAAGACGATGGTGTTCAGGAAAATCACCTTGAAATTCACGGCATGTAGACGTATATGTGTATGTTATGTATGTTGTATGTTTATCATATTTATCAGCAGGGTCCATGAATTTGGAAGATTCTTGGAATAAATATAAACAAACGAGATTTGTGAGGGGTAATTTCATAAGTAACTGTGAAGTTCCAGCCAGCCTTGGATAGATGGGCTGGCAGTGGTACCCATACTATGCCGCTGCGGCATAGGTTTATCTGCTTTCGACCAGAACCAGGTGTCAGGAAAAGTCAGCCTGAATACATCTGAATACCTGGTTGCCGGTGATGGTCCATGCTATAAACTTAAACTAAGAGATCTGCTAGAGATCTTCTGCACTCAAAGACACACATATCCAGCTCCTATCCAGCTCCTAAAGTCAATCTTTGGCATCCCGTTGCATCCGGCAAGGTGCAGTGCACATCACCACGTCAAAACACGGGTGGCGTAGCACGCGTGCCATGACCTGCACGGTTTTTGGAACCAAACACGAGTGGCTATTGAAGTCGAGTATTTCTGTGGTGCTGAAACAATGAGATATTCCGGTCATTTCCGGTGTATCCATGTCTGCTCGTGGAGATATGGAACGAGGGATCTGAAGACCGTGGCCCACATGCATTGAAACATACAGGATCTACGGATATCTACGGTAATTGCAGCTTGGGTTTTTGAGTGGGTGCAAAGACTCTGGCAGCTACGAGTAGCATTCTCGTGTGCACTGAAATGAAACAACAGCACTACACATATATCATACAATACCATGCAATAATGCAATATACATATACCATAGAACAGCATACAATATTGATACAATATTGCTAATATGATACAATCATGTACAATCCAGGTGTCCATCAATTCCCACACTTCACTGATCTTAGACCGTCCTGACCCTTCCGTCAAGGCACAGCAGTGGAGAAACTGGGTTGAGAATCGACGTTCATGAAGGCTAAACCGTAAGGCCTTGAGACAAAAGTGCGTCAAAATCATCAAAGTGCCCCATGAGTGACACCCCGTTCCGTGCTAGTTTGATGTGAGGCCCAAACAGATCTGTTTTTTTCTTGGGGGGCAAAAAACATGAAAACCACACCATGGTGAGATGTTTGATGTTTGTACTAGGGTGAGATTTGTTGCTTTTGTCAGGCGCCCAGCAGAACCATGACTGGTTGATTTTTGGTTTATGGTAGTTTGGCAAATAAACATCTTTCTGCAAACCAGAAACGGAAGTGGCAAACTACCACTACACATGGGAAAACGACTTGATCAACTGACAAACCATAAGGTAAGCCAACCTGGCACTAGGAAATACAAGTTTTGTTGAGATACAAACACTCATCAACATGGCCAAACATAGATACCCTGCACTGTTTCTACTGTTTAGTGTAACATATACCCATGTATGGCAAACACTTAGTATAAAAACTACCTCATACTAAAATATATTCAGTAGATAACATATGATAACATATGATAACCTATCTATATAATATGGGTTTGGCCGAAAAGGCTGTCTGGATCGTCCCGCAGTGATCCGGACGTCTGGAACGGGTGACTTGCGTATAATAGGTTTGATCCGGACCTACTGACTGAGAAGGTTGAGAAGGTATAGTAAATTGGCCTGGCTATATAAGTACAACTTGTCATTCTTGGGTATGGATCAAGGATATGGCATGGATGGATATGGATCATATATATCCTTAGAGAATCTTAGAGATGTATGGATCATGGCTATGGATCGGGGCCTGCTATTTGATTCAGGGATTGCCACGAGTACCACTGCCGAGCGGCTTTCGATGGTTTGGGATCTTGCTGGACACGTCAGCAAAGGCCTCAAGCCTTGGCTTACTGGTTTTCCCACTTGGTCAAATATTGACACCGTAAGGCCATAACATATTCAACAATATTGAACATAGGAACAAGTTCTGTCAAATATATAAATCGATATCAATCGTATAGGAGATTATAGATGATTATAGGAGTAATTCATATGCGTACGTTAAGCGTAATTATTCTACTATTGCTGATTGTTGCTGTTCATTTGCTCTCTTGCAGACAGTCGCCTCTGTTCATGTCTCACCAATGACATATCGCCAAGCAGCTCCACACCAGCATGACTGGAGCTAACTGCCTGAGTGGGATTCGATTTGAACATGCTGATCTTTGGAGTTCCGGTGTCAAGCACCAGCTCCTCCTGCGAAGTTTTTTTGGGGCATGTGTGGGGTCGAGTGGGCTTATAACCTCCACTGTTGGAGGACCTGGCTTTAGGGGAAGTCAGGGGAAGTTAGGCGAATTTATAAGCCGGTTTATAGCATTGTATGGCTGGCCCATCCATGTGGAAGGCAATTCGAAGGACTGGGATATTGGATGAGTTGCTGGCCGCATGCTTGAGAGTGGGCTGAATCCACATGTTTGGCGGCTCAAACTCCACTCCTTGATTCCATTCCCTAATTTTGGTGAAATATCCACCATACAATTAGTTCAAAACATTTCAAAACTATGGATGGTTTCCCAAAGAATCCTGAAGAAATCTATATAAAATTATATAAATCTATTACAGTCCATGATGCCAGCCCTTCCCCGGAAAACAGTCCTGCATGGAGAGGTTGCGGCTTAAGATCCTGCGGAGCTGCAGGGTCGCCACAAAGAGAGATGTTTCCCTGGAATTTTAATGTTCATTCAGTTCATTCATCTTCATCCTCGTTCATTTTCATTAATTCTCCATCAAGTTGCAAGTCAGATTTGATTTTCAATTAATTTTCCATGTGCTGAAAATACATGGGTTCCAAACACGATCATCTTGGCACAATGCGACCCCACCTGCTACGAGAGGCCTCGAGCTCCGTTTGAAGCCTGGAATCGATCTGGATCTTGGGACCCAAAAACCCCAATAAAAAAGGATCGTGTAAGGTCGGGAAATCGAGACCAGCTTTGGAGCCCCCAAAAATCGGGCTATTGTCGTACAAGGTTTGATGGTTTCTCGAACTCAAACTGAAACGTACATAAGAATATACATAATATAGAAATAATGTATTGGCGTACAGTACATCTTTATACCGTCTCTATTCCACAGTCACCCAATACAAAAAAATACAAAAAACATGGCCTTCATGAGATTTCATGAGTATGGTTTTGGGTCAACATGGAGCCAGATTTGGGTGGAGAAGTGTGAGACGTAGCGAAAATCTGTGGGTCCCAACCTGCTGATCTCTGATTTCAGGCGAGACAACTCCATGTAGTGCCTTCAGGGCTTCAGGGCTGAGGGCACTGCAGCACTCAGATCAGTGAAAGCTTGAGTGGTGTTGAAGATCAATCTGCTTTCTGAGAAAGTGATGTTTGAAAAGAATAACACCTATACTGCAAATGGTGTAACTTATTATAACTCGTTTCTTGCCGGGCTTGTTTGCTGACAAAGACAATCACAGCTTTTTTTTCTTTTGATGACCACCAGCCCCAAGAATAAGAAACACATCGTCAGAACCTGGCAATCCCAATCACTGAACAAAACTGTCAGCATGTCCCACCAGCCTAACACTGAGTTTTTCGAGGATGCCCTCGAAGTCATCATCATGTCCATCACCAGTGAGAAACATGGCCGCGAACAACGGATCGAAAAACGGTGCCAATGGCAGCGTCAATGACAAATCAAGGATCTGCGATACGAATTCGAATTGATGGATCCTTCCTGTTCATGAAAATCCAATAAAATCGGTGTGTTTGAAAAGACTGTGCTCCAAAATCCAGTGATTTATGTTGACAAAATCCATCATTTTCGCTCTTTTTTTATTGGCGGCATATGGGGGCATATCCCATTTTCAGATAGACCACAGGACTGCTGATTTCCATGAAAGACAGGTTGTGGCTCTGCAACTGGAGACCGACCGGAGTTGAAAAATGGCAGGTAGTGATTTTTAGTGTCTTGCACTGAAGACACTGACGGGCGCAACCAAAGATCCGTGAAAAAAACCCCTGTGTCGTCTATATGTGTATAGTACAGTGTATAGGCTGTATAGGAAAATGAACCAATATGCAGCATCACATTTCTTGCACATGCCCAAGATACCCCAAAAAATCATGGATTTCCGGAAACTCAGAGTTGCGATCTGACAATTTCCTATGTCGCATGTGCGGCCTCCTATATGTCATGATGTTGCCTGCCGCCACACTTCCATCCATCTTCGAAAACTGTAAGAAGATCCATGGAAAGACCCAAAAAAAGGACATGTGAGATGTATCAAACACATCTAAAAGTTGGTGTTTTCGACCCTGATGATATCTGATGATTGTACCTCATATGCTTGGAGATCGCCCTACGCAGCCCCCATCATTTGAGGTTGAACCCAACCAAATTGGTCATGTTGATAGTAACTTAGTACTGGTGGGTGGTTTTAACCGTCTTGAAAAATATGAAAGTCAATGGGAAGGATGACATCCCATATATTATGGAAAATAAAAATGTTCCAAACCACCAACCAGAGTATATGTATCTGTATATGTGTAGTATGATATTCATTGATATTCTACGATTCCACATGAAACCATTGAAATGTTGGTACTGTTGGTGGCACAATTTTTGACCAATCTCACTGATCTTCACTCAGCCGCCAGTCCCACCTTGTCCTTGTGGCACTCCCCAGTTGCATCCGCCCTGCCAGGCACTCGAGCCTCACGACCGTCGTAGCACTGGTAGATGGGAAACTTATCAAAACATACGCTCAGCCGCTGAACAACGTTAGTTTTATGCAATGATGTTATGGTAGAAAACCACTGAACCATGAGTAATTCATAGTAATTCCGCATTTTTAACGCACCTGGGCATGAAGAAAATCACTCATTTTTGGTAGTTGTAAAGCAATAAACATAGAGTAAACTAGCCACTCTGCATGGCCTGGGCCACCACAAAAATGGTAAACATTGGGATGGTGGATCCTGTTGACCCACCCGAGGGCTGGGAAAATACGATGATTTTACCTATGGAAAATGGAGTTTACCTATGGGAAATTTACCACGCCAAAACATGGCATATGCGGTGGTTAATGCTATTTATATCAATTTATCGCGAATATATATATATATATAGAATATGTATATATATAATTATATATATATACAGATAGAATATGTGTATATATATAATATAAATATTTGAGGTTTAAAATGATGTTTGATCCCATTGGCGACCCGCCATTTCATACTGTCCGACAATTTCCCCAAAAGGGATGAGTCTTTCAAAACAGCGTCCACAACTGGCATTATAAGAAATATATATATATATATATATTAGGATCGCACCATAAAATGTCCCATGTCCGGCACTTTCACAAGGGATATTAGACAGATGATACTTTAGCTATATTGCTGGATGGTGTTTGATCATCGTACCCATCGACCTATCACTTGAACCTATCGTAAATAGGTGGTGAAGACAGGAGTGGTCCTTCATCGGACCCCCCCAGAATTGAGGCTTCAAATGGAACCAGAACTTGGCTGATTGGTAGTTGAGTCACCCGGTAGAAACAATGAATATTGTGACACAACCCCAGGACCAGAAGACCAGAAAGTGAGGGTTTTCAGGCAGAACATGCCTTCTTCACTGTGCCCATCGTTGGATTCCACAACTCACCATAATTCACCCCACGAAATTTCATGAGATTTCATCCAAGTGGCTGAAATGTCCATAGCCGTTGTATGCTGCATAGCCTCCTCCGTACAAGGCCGCTTGGTTGGCATAGCCATTGCTGGCGGCGTTGCCCAGCACGGGGCCCAGCTGCTGAATTGGGGGCCAGGGGGGCCCAGTGTAGCCCAGGTGGCCCATGTGGCCCAGACCCAAGCCGGGGTTGGCCATGGTATTGGCAAATCCTCGGTGGCAGTGGGTGAAACCTGGTGAAACCTGGTGAAACTGTTGGTTGTTGATTGCTACTTTTTAGTTAGGTTTTTTTTTACAGCATGCCTCAACTACATCCCACTACTCACTACTCTATGGTGTTGTGGAAACCACAATCATTGGGTTGAAGGGAAAATTAACGGTTGAAACCTAAAAACGTGTTTTTGATACCCAGCTATGAGAGTTTCCTATCTGAAAGCAACGGGTGGGACTCAGTGACTGGGAAAAAAGTGAGGCTGGTAGTGAGGCTGGTAGAACGGGGGAAAGGATTTTTATGCATTTCCCACTAGTATTGTGGAAGCCTCTGGACAATTGGAAAGTGTTGGGGTTGGGACGGACGCGAAAACTGGTGCTGAGGGAAGGTGGGGCTTGGGCTGAAAATAGATTTGCCGATTGGGGAAGACAAACCCCGACACAATCTAGATATTCTGGCAGTTGAAGAGTAATATGAAAGTATCTAGAATCTAATACCAAAATCATCCATCCCATTTAGATCACATTTCAATCTCCCTTGTGGATCTTTTTCTCCAGGAAACCTGCAGCAAATCCGGCATTGAAGGATCCAAAGTTGTCCGCAAAGGTCGGAGGAGCACCCGCCATGTAGTTGCCACCCGCCATGTAGTTGCCAGCCGCCATGTAGTTGCTCATTGGCCTCAGCCCAATGGCTTGGTGCATCGTGGTGAATCCATCAGTATTTCCGAGGGATTCGATGTCTTTTGGTGAAGTTCACCATCACTAGATCGGCTGCCCTTGCTCTGCTCACTAGATTCACTAGAAGATCCTATCAGATTTGTGGATTCTATCAGAATAGATTTCTGGATTCCTATCTCAGAGTTGGGATATGTTGGGATCCTCTGAAAAATTGCCGCCACATCGGACATCGGGGCTCCAACGCAACAGGCGATTGCGGGGTCTGTGGCCAGCAGAGCTGGGGGGGCACGGCCTGGCGGGATGTCATCCCTTAGATGGGGAAATTAGGTGCCATAGTGCCATAATGGATAATAATGGATATATAATGGATATATAGAAAAACAAATACCTATTTCTAGATTCTGTATGTATTAAATATAAAAGAAACTGATGCTATGTAAAACTGTAGAATTAGATTTTATAACATATACAGACTTACTGTGTATTACAGTACTATATTATCGAATGATAGTAGGTGATGGTATTGAAACGAGGATAATGTCGATATTCCGATATTCCGAAATCTTTGGACATCTGGTACAATCTCAATTTCCACCCGACTCGAAGCTTCCCAGCAAAAAAAATAACCAGCAAATCCCGTGGTACGAGTAGGGTATGGATTAAAGTTAACGTATCAATATTCATGGCCAAAACCATTCCCCTTTGGGGGAAAACCCATCCTGACTTGAGCCACTCTTCAGGCACTGCCGCGGTTTTTCGTTTGCTGCGGGCAGCTTGGAACTCTGAGCTGCCGAAATGTCACGAAATGTCACGAAATGTCACGAAATGTCACGAAATGTCACGACGATATGTACAGTTGCTGTAGCCTCAAGGCCGAAGAGGTGAAAGGGAGATGTTCTCAACGGATAGACCATGTGGAAATCCAATCTGGCAATGCAAAATCTCCCACTATCATTTACCAAAGATTATTCTATATATTTGTATGTTGTAGAGTCAGGCTTTCCTGTCATTGTTAGGTTGGATTAGCAGATTTACCAGCATAAACGTGAACGCGAGAGAGAGAGAGAGAGAGACACGGGGTCTTGAACGGACTTGCTGCCAAAATGATTTATCCGATTGCCCTCAAACCCAGTTGGCCAAGCTACTACTTCCTACACACCAAATGCAGCAACCAGATGGCCACCATGCTGTCAAGAAGCCAAAGGGCCGATCATCACATACATTGGAAGGTCTTCCTACGTCCTGACAAGGCTGGAAGCACCGGGGAACTGATTTGCTTTTGACAAGACTCCTGGGAATAGTTACACTTCAAATATAGCTCCAGAACATATATATATATGTATATGTATGTATTATATAACTAAATACTACGCTATTAATTATATAAAATTATATTATAATATGTATGTATGTATATATATATATATGTACTATACAATATATTATAACTTTATAAAATTATATAATAGTATATATAGATTTCAATATGCCACTGTTCAAACATGTGGTTCCCGGGTTCCAAATTTTCTCCGCCCCAGCCTCGACCCTCGCTAGGTAAATCTCTCGAGGGATGCCCTCGGATGTCCTGGCGAATAACATCCCAGAATCGTCAAGTTTGGAAAAAAAACCAAGAAGCCGTCAGTTTCCTCCAGATCTTCCCTTGCCATCAATCCATCAACAATTTCAGTCGCCTTGTCCCCAAAACGCTCCACAGCCGCCGAGATGGGAGACACCAGGTTCTCAACAAAGGACTCCTGGCGCGCCGCATCAGCCCATCCAGGACCAATCCATGGTGAGTGCCGGCACCGTCCTTGGTGTTCTTGGATGAAGAGAGGTGATCATCTGCAACATCACCTGGCCGATGTTTCGAAGTGCTGAACCAGGTTTCATTTTTCAGAAAACGACCATGGATCCATGAACATCCTGCTACAGTATATGGATGATTCATGATTATTCACCATTCCTTGTATTATGGAGTCAGCACCTTTCCTTTGTCCATGGATTCCATATGATTCCATGGCCAAGCCACAGGAGTCCAGCATTCCATGGAACTGTTCCAGAATCTCCTGAGAGTCGTCGGCTGCGTCAGCTGCGTCAGCAAATGCCAGAGCAACCGTGATGACAAAGAAATAAACTAGTCTTGGTTCATGTCATGTCAAGGATGGACACTTGGAATGTTAATTGTTTGATATATTTTGATATAGATCGCGGACCAGAAATACGTCTTGACAACGATGTCTTTGACTTTCGGGGTCATTTGTGCACTTCAAACTCACCAAATGACAACATATGACAACGTCCACCCTTGAATTTGCTGAAGCGTCCGAAAAACATGAATGATTTTGGATTCATAGATGTTTTCTGGACTCTGATCATCGCACGTCGCACATTTCCAGCTGGAAAAGTATGTTAAAGTAACAACATCATACAAAATCAACGCTCCAAATTAACAACTAACAACATCTATGATAACTTTGAGCCATACCCCCAAGTGCTGCCGAGCATCGATGAGACCGTCGAGACCGTCTTCGCCTTCCGCGGAGACCATCGCCAGGGTTGCGGAGAACGTCCCCTTCTCGGAGGCACGCTTGATCTGGCATGAGGTCAACATGGCTTCAGCAGTTTAGCAATCTTCTGACATTGTTCCTGAATGGTCAACTTTGGTCATTGGGTAAACGATGAAAGATGGGTAAAGACATGTAAAGACCTATAACAGCCCCAATACTGCACCATAGGGTTGGAAACATACCTTGTACACCATGATTCTTGAATCATGCTTTCACTAGTTTGGGGGGATTCGGGACCATTTGATTTTGGACGTATCCCGGATGGATAGGCTATATCCTCCACTTATTGGTTCTGCATCCCAACTCTCAAAACAAACCTTTGGCTATTAACTCCCAACAACAAACCCAAAGCCACATTTGTAGTGGTTCTTCCCACAGCAATGGTTACAACTCCACCCTTGGTTCGTATGGTTTACTCGTCGCTGTGGCCTCATGGACAAGGGCATAGGCTGCCAAGCACAAAGGCCTCTGCCGCTGGGGGAGAGGCCAACCCACCACGATCATCCCATATCATCCTGGGGAAGGACAATCGTGTTCCGAGACCATCGGATGATGCGGGCAGCTACCGTTTTTGTTCATTGTTGGTTCTCTACGACATGGCAAAACAATGCAACACATATCATGATTTTATATGATTTTATATGATTTTCCCATTCAAACCTTCATTGAGTTCAGGGATTTCGGGAGTTCGGGGATTTTCCAGCCACGGATTTCCCACGCATCCCACAGCCTGAAGACTCGAGAATCCAACAGACAGTGATTTCGGAACCTTGGTCCGATGGTGCTGAATCTTCAACAACCGTGCGGACCGTAATGTCATATTCAATCAACATGTCTTAACATCACTTTTGGATATTTTAGGATAGTCGGAAGATGAGATATTCCCCTTTATTCCCTGTATCCCATGGCATCACTATAATTGAAGTGGGACATTCACCACAAATTCACGACCCATGGACCCACCGTCCACGTCGTCCAAGGCACATCAAACGTCCAATGTCGCGCACGTGCGGCGTGTGCGCTGCGCGGGTGACTTCTTGCGAGCCACGGAAATTGTCGATGGCCATTTCCTAATGACAGCAGATCCAAGGGATACACAGAATTGATTGATACATGGTCAACAAATCTGGATATTTTAAATTTTACAATGGGATGTAGGGGAGATATGATTCATGTAAACATTATGGGGATATATCATATGATATAGCTTGCATGCTGACGCACAAGAACCATCAACATGGCCCCTCTGGCGCAAGAGCCAAATATTGATTCTTGATGAAGAGTATGGATTGTTGCAACAATCCATGTGGACAGTCTTTGGAAGTTGAAGAAGAAGAATGCCAAGCAAGACATGTCATGACTGACAACATCACGACATGGCGATTCTCTGAATGGTGATTTCAAAGCATCCCAAAACCATGAACGTCAATTTTTATCATCCCATTTCTAGAACTGATGGAACCCTTGAAGGAAACTCTAAAAGCACTAAACAAAACGCACTATAGACATTTCCAGTGACCCAAAGATCCCAAAGTTGGTGGATCCCTGGAACACCACAAAAAGTCACGCCCCGTACGAGCCCAAGTCTCCAAGGGACCCAGTTGGGCATCCAAAAACTCCGTGAGATCCTGGTGGGATCATGGTACCAACGATGCTACTTGATGCTACTGGTTTTCACTTGATTACAGTACCCTCTGGTTATTTAACATAACTATGGAAAATCACCATTTTTGATAGGTAAACCATCTATAAATGGGCCATTTCCCATGGCTATGTTAAATAACCAGATGGTAATACATCAAGTAAAAAGATGATCCCACAAAATAAATGACGATTGAATTACTCATAGATGTTTCATGTGAAATATTTAATTGTACATTATGATGATACAATGAAATTTTATCATAATGGAGACTGGATCATGAAATTGGATCATGTAAGACTTTGACGGTGGAGAATCCTTCCATTGGTGCTTCAATGATCCGACCAGTCCAAGTCATCTAACCACAGTTCAAGCAGTGGCTGCAAGAAAAACAATTCTTTGACAAATAAAACATCCTTATATAATATACATATATAGTAATTATATATAATTATATATATATAGTTCAATTTAACATCCTTCCACTATCGTTCCATAAACTTCAAAGGTATATTTGCCCAATAAAGTCCTCATTTTTTTCTCATAGTCACCAACATATCAGCATCCCCCTTAGGTAAACTACGGTGACTTTCGACAAGCCAAGCCCTTTCCTTTCACTTTCACATACACATCCAGTTTAGCCATGTTTAGCCCACATATGCCCACATATCGGCATTCGGCCACATCCATGTCATCCATGTCACCTCCAGTTCGCACCATTCCAACATGGCGTGTTTCAGAAACTCGTGCCGCGCGTTGTTCAACCGCAGCTCCACCGCATCGCCATCGCTGGACTTCGACGAAGTCGTGGTGCCCAGGCAGCTGAGGCCGGACATGACGAAACTCTTGCGCCAAATGGGCAAACACCTGCAGTTTTTCATGGGCAAATGGGGATTTATCAATGATTTATCTGTATTTACTGGGATATTCATGGCTTCATATTGATTCTGTGCAGATTCATTCATACGGGCATTTATATTTTCTATATTCTTATTTTTTGGGTCACACGGATTTACCAGAATATATGGTTTGATATGTGACTAATGGATGTTTGCGAGATATATTGGGGATAATTATGGGATCTATTGGGATATTGAGGGAGGTTTCCTCAATCTCTGCCCCCAAAATCATCCAGCATATGATTGGTCATGTTTTAAGATGGAAGACCCAATTGCTGTGGGGTACCATCTTTTTGAGGGAAAAGGGACGATGATCAGGGATGACCCTTGCGCAAGTTGGGAAGGGGGTGACCATGAAATGGGCTGGAAATCCATCGTGAGAACGGGATGATTATTTTGGAGGGGATGACTGTACCATAAATGAACAAATGACCATGTTTCATTGCAGAGACTTGGTGGTTTCCACCTCCCCTGCTAAAAGTTTAACTTGGAGTCGTTATGTATAAATCATGGCTGGGAACCGCCATGGGGAATTCTGTCCTGGTCATGTATTGTTCTACTTTTTCCCCCAACCTCTCACGAGAATTAGCATGAATTAGCAACATCACCCTGGCCATTGCTGGGCCTTTGTCGATGAGGAACTTCGTGGAGCTGATCAACGGCAGAAAAAAAATTGAAACAATCCCAAAGACAGGGACTTTTGGTTGTTACTCCTATGACTGGTTCATTATATCAACAGGATGTCAAGCAAAGGTCATCCAATGTCGAAGTGGGACTGATCCCTGACGTGCCCTGAAGGGATCAGGGAAGGCAGCATTCTAGCGCGGTTCGAGGATTTGCACAAATGATCGGATGGACACCACCAAAAACTGATTTGGTGATTTGTAAGAGTTTCAAGGATACTTTTACATACTTTTACCGCTTAGAAGTGGCTTGCATCTGGTCATGTTTGGGTTTCATGAATGAATTTTCCACCAGTTTTCCACGGGCCGTGAAGGACTGGGAGGCCCAAAAAGCCGCTGAACCGCAGCTGCGTTGCATCCGCTCATGGTCCAAAGAGATTTGGTCAGCGCCCTGGCGCGGATTCATGCGTCATTGGCCCATCCTTTCCTTTTGAGATCCCCATTTGAACGATTAAAAAAATAAATAGATCAGCAGATTTCGCAGCATCAAATCCCATGAAAATTGATCAAACTCCCATGGAAATGCCAAATATGTCTTGGTTTCAGATGGCCTGCAGCTTGGCTGTGTCGCCGGTTGCCAAGTCGTCCAGTTGATCCATGGCCTTCGTGTGGGATGCCTTCGCAACAGTTGAAACCTACCCGAATGGACCACAGCCTCGAATCAGCAAAAGTTGGGATTTTTCAGCAACAAAATTCGGGATTTAAAATGATGAAAGCAACTTTTGCATCAACAAACACGGTTCTCCAATCAAAGTAGTGGATAGTAATGGGAGATAATTGGAGGATCTGGCGATGGTTCGGATCGGCTCGAGGGCCCAAAAGACAGGAAAAAACAGGTGAGATAAGATCAATCTGATCTCATTCGTCAATCACCGAGAGCCATGATTTTTGCATCCCCACCTTCATTGCTTTCAAATCCATATCATTCCACCATAATTTCTGTTGCAACTAGTATGGACCAAAAAAAAACAATTGGTTTTTCCATATGTTTCTCCCATAAAAAAAACACATATATCCAACATTAACCAAGCCATCTCAACCTTCGCATCCAAGGCATCCAAGGCACACACAAGGCGTGGGCCGCGCACTTGGCGCGCAGACACAGCTCTTCGGTGACCGATTCGTAGAGCAAGGCCCAGCTGCTGGGGGTCACCAACTTGTGAACCTCGGGAGTTGGACCGTGGCGTGGCGTGGCCCAGTGGCTGGATTTCATGTGGTGATGGAGAAACATTGGGACAAAATAAAGAAGAAATATAACGATATATAAATAACAATAAAGCTCACTATGGTATTTAACAATGTATTTCAGATCATTATGGAAGATATGTGAAATTAGATCGATTGAATCTACAAAATCTATAGAATCTTCTAGAATCTTCTAGAATCTGTATCCTATCTGTATCTATTTAATAGAATCTATTCTAGTGTCCAGTCATGTTTCCTTCGGATCTTCGGGGTCCCGGGGGTCCCAGTCCCAAGCTTTCCGGACTGACAGATCTGACGACGCGCACGATGCTCTCGATGGATCTCTCCAGTGCATCAGGTAAGCTTTCCACCTCTGCAAAGGGACAGCTTTTGAACTACACTGCCTGGCCTGAAATCGAAATATTTTTTTATGGGACTTCTATGAGATGTAAGTGTAAGACATTGCAATATATATATATATATGTAAGACAAAAATGGGGGACTGTTACTCATGTCATGCATGACATGAAGATTATGAAGTAATTCATGGCTGTAGAGTGGGATGATATGATGGCATTGGATGATTTGGGGGTACAATGATATATCAAGAACAGCAAATGTATGTATATATATATACATACACGCATATATACATATAAAAGTATATATGTAAAAGTATATATATATATACATACGCATATATATATATACATACAGTACTGTATCTATATGCAGCTGTTATGTCTACATAAAACCTCTTAAAGTCAAGTCTGTGCTGGGACCTTGATGGTAAATGGCCATCGATGTGGACAGGTATCATTTTCAATCATTGTGTGCAATGGCACAAGCGAACCGTGATTTTACTAAACATGTTGCTGCACTTGTATTTGATCGTCCGATTGCTAGAGGCAATTCATGGCAATTCCCATCGGGCATTTATCGAAATCAGAAATCACCCAAATGGTACCATTTTCCCGCAGATGCTCAAGTTTCAAAACTCTGCTTCAACCCAACATGGCATGACCTATCTTCCTGAGGAACATTATGGCCATATATGGCCATTGGAAAGTTCGGAGATATCCATTTGAAATCATGAATTCACTAGTAGTTTTTCCCTCCCCAAATTTCCTTCCGATGACCGAGGGGCACGGGTGGCCAGACAGTGAGGTTTGACAAAGACTTGCGCTGCAGGCACTCCACCTAGCAACGTTTTCAGAAAGCTAGCAGGACTATACAGGACTGGAGACCAACAATATGATTCAATCCAACATGTTTACCATCTGGTTATTTAACATAGCCATGGAAAATCCCTTATAAATGGAGGCTTTAATGGGAAAATCATCTATAAATGGGCCATTTTCCATGGCTATGTTAAATAACCAGAGGGTATAGTTTATATGAATGGTCTTACTGTCTTACCTCAAAAAATCCTGTTTGCAAATGTGGCATAAAGAACTTCAATCGCCCCCAATAAACCTGATGGAAAAAAAACCGTTCATATATTTTTTTCATTTATTTTTTTCCCATGCTTGTATGATGATTATTGGAAACATTGGAGATTGGCCTTCCTGTGGAACATTGGCTTTTCTCGTGGCCATTTGGCCATATTCCAGAACCAGGTTCCTGCGGAATGCTACGCACTCAATATGTCTCAAGTTTAGCGCGCTGAATTCTGCAAAATTAACGAAGGAAAAGGAATATTTATCAGAAGAATATCATAGATAATCGTAGAATATCAGAATATCATAGATACACGTAACATCCACACATGATGTATTGATATTTTTGTAATTTTTAGCTCAACAACAAATTTGGCATTATTAGGTCCATGGTCATCCCACCATTAGCAATTCCATGACATTCATGGATGCAATGAACATAATGAACTATACAAATACAATCAAATATCTACAGATGGTTAAGGATTTAATGGTCTATTCCATGGACAAATTCCATCCCTGGACTCCATCCCACCATGGTTTTTTCCCCTGGGATTTTCATGGTTTTTCGATCCCACATCTGCGCCTTCTCCACGAAGTGGAAGACCGGTGAACTCGGGGGCGCTGACTTTGGGCTCCTGGAGGTCACTGGAGATTTCATGGAGATTTCATGGAACCCATGTGATGAAACATGATGAAACATGATACAACCAAATGGTGAATTGCCCCTCTGGGGTAAACAGTTAGCCCGGATCCTAGTTGGCATTGGTAGCAAACTAAAGCTCTTCTAGTAGGGTAACTAGGACCAATGGGCGTACAGTGACGTGTGATCTTAGCTCCCAAGAATGTGTTGGCACTGGCAAGATTGGGGTGTGGGTGTCCCCGGGGAATTTTTTTCAGATTTCCCGGGGAATTTTTTTCAGGATACGGGGTCTATATAGCAAAACACACAAGGCCAGAAGCAGCAACCATGCGGAAAGGGTTCGCGCCCCTACCTTTTTCCAACACGGAAAGGTCGCAATACTCTAGTCTCGACTGTGCTGTGATGCCAGATATGTCGTCGTTAGGTTTCAGCTGTGGTTCTGTTGAAGTTGCAATAGTGTGGTGTGGCTCAACACAGGATCAGTTTGGTATCCTCCTCTTGACACCATAACACACCTGGCATATTTATTCATATTTGGGTCACTCAATTTCTTTGTTTGCCCTGCATATGTTTTTGATAGATTGATAGATTGATAGATAGATAGGATAGATAGGATAGATAAGATAGATAGGATAGATAGGATAGATAGGATAGATAGGATAGATAGGATAGATAGGATAGATAGGATAGATAGGATAGATAGATAGATAGATAGGATAGATAGGATAGATAGGATAGATAGGATAGATAGGATAGATAGGATAGATAGGATAGATAGGATAGATAGGATAGAGATAGGATAGATAGGATAGATATCGATATATCGATAGATAGGATAGATAGGATAGATAGGATAGATAGGATAGATAGGATAGATAGGATAGACAGGATAGATAGGATAGATAGGATAGATAGGATAGATAGGATGGATGAGATAGATGAGATAGATGAGATAGATGAGATAGATGAGATAGATGAGATAGATGAGATAGATGAGATAGATGAGGTAGATGAGATAGATGAGATAGATGAGATAGATGAGATAGATGAGATAGATGAGATAGATGAGATAGATGAGATAGATGAGATAGATTAGCTAGGTTAGCTAGGTTAGCTAGGTTAGCTAGGTTAGCTAGGTTAGCTAGGTTAGCTAGGTTAGCTAGGTTAGCTAGGTTAGCTAGGTTAGCTAGGTTAGCTAGGTTAGCTAGGTTAGCTTGGTTAGATAGGCTAGATAGGTTAGATAGATTAGATAGAATAGATAGAATACATAGATAAGATAGATAAGATAGATTAGATAGATTAGATAGATTAGATAGATTAGATAGATTAGATAGATTAGATAGATTGGATAGATTCGATAGATAAGATAGATAAGATAGATAAGTTAGATAAGATAGATAAGATAGATTAGACAGATTAGATAGATTGGATAGATAAGATAGATAAGATAGATAAGATAGATAAGATAGATAAGATAGAAAAGATAGATAAGATAGAAAAGATAGATAGGATAGATAAGATAGATAAGATAGATAAGATAGATAAGATAGATAAGATAGATAAGATAGATAAGATAGAAAAGGTAGATAAGATAGATAAGATATATAGGATAGATAGGATAGAAAAGATAGCTAAGATAGCTAAGGTAGCTAAGGTAGATAAGGTAGATAAGATAGACAAGATAGATAAGATAGATAAGATAGATAAGATAGATAAGATAGATAAGATAGATAAGATAGATAAGATAGATAAGATAGATAAGATAGATAAGATAGATAAGATAGATGAGATAGATAAGATAGATAAGATAGATAAGATAGATAAGATAGATAAGATAGATAGGATAGATAGATAGATAGATAGATAGATAGATAAGATTAGATAAGATAAGATTAGATTAGATTAGATAAGATAAGATAAGATAGATAGATAGATGGATGGATAGATAGATAGATAGAAAGATAGATAGATAGATAGATAGATAGAATAGATAGATTCGATAGATTAGATAGTTTAGATAGATTAGATAGATTAGATAGATTAGATAGATTAGATAGATTAGATAGATTAGATAGATTAGATAGATTAGGTAGATAGATAGATTAGATAGATAGAATAGATAGATTCGATAGATTAGATAGTTTAGATAGATTAGATAGATTAGATAGATTAGATAGATTAGATAGATTAGATAGATTAGATAGATTAGATAGATTAGATAGATTAGAAGATTAGATAGATTAGATAGATTAGATAGATTAGATAGATTAGATAGATTAGATAGATTAGATAGATTAGATAGATTAGATAGATTAGATAGAT